GTTATCTCCATGCATGGTCCTTGGTTGGAGTATCAATCTCAGAAAAGACCCCTGAACCCAGATATTTTGGTTCTGTTGGTCTCTTTGTGGAGCTCCTGTCTCCTCTATGTCTTTCATCTCCCTTTTCTTTCATAAGATTCCCTGCACTCTACCCAAAGTTTGGCTGTGAATCTCAGCATCTGCCATCATTACCTGCTGGGTAGAGTCATTCGGAGGCCCTCTGTGTTAGGCTCCTGTGCTGTTCCCTGTTTTCTCCCTCTTCTGATGTCCATCTTGTTTGCCTTTCTGAATAAGGATTGATTATATTACGCAGGGTCCTCCTTCTTGCTTATCTTCTTTAAGTGTACAGATTTTAATATGTTTATCCTAACTTGGACAACCACTTTGAAAATCAATCTGGTGCTTTCTCAGACAATTAGGAATAGTACTTCCTCAAGATCCAGCTATAGCACTCCTAGGCATATATCTAAAATACGCTCAATATCCAACAAGAATATTTGCTCAATCATGTACATAGCAGCTTTTTCATAATAGCCAGAATCTGGAAACAACCCAGATGTCCCTCAATGGAGGAATGGTATAAAAAATGTGGTACTTTTACACAATGCAATACTACCACTCAGCAATTAAAAACAAGGAAATCATTGAAAGTTGCAGGCAAATGGTGGGATCTAGAAAAAAATCATCCTGAGTGAGGTATCCCAGAAGCAGAAAGACACACATGATATGTACTCACTTATAAGTGGATATTAGAAAGACTTGTCTTAAAACATAAAATAGGCATTTCCTGAGGAATGACATACAACATTGACCTCTAGTACGCACACAGGAAGACACAGAAGTAGGAACACTAGCACTCAAACACACACACACACACACACACACACACACACACACACACACACTGTATATAGATAGGCCTTCAAAACAACCATTCAAAGGAAAACTAGGCAAAGTTTTTGGTGCTGAGTTCAGCTAAACTCTTCATTCTGTAACCTTTTGACATGGCCACAATCTTGCTGAAAGGTAGCCAGGAATTGTTAAAAGCTTGTTCATGCAGAAAATAACAGATCACCTGAGACTAAAACAGTCATGCCCTCCATGCTATAATGAACACATAGAAAAACATCAAAAACTGCATAGTTTTTGAGTACTGACAACATAAGTCTAAGTTCAGTGGGTAAATGGAAGAAAAAAATATGTTTCTGTTTAATTATCTTTACCTCTAAAATTCTCTTTCTTTGGGATAACATTTAGGGGTTGGTACTTTTTTTTTTTTCTACTCAAACTTTCTAGCCACATTTCCAATATACTATGATAAGTAAATATTTAAAGAAATACTGTGATTGTTAGATAAAAATGCACAGAAAGAATTTTGCCTTTATGAACTGAACAATGTAATAAATTATAAGCATTACTTTATAATTTAGTCCAGAAAGATTTAAATGATAAAATATAAATATGAAGAATCCTGGGGACAATGAAAAGAATGGTTAATATCCAGTTCTCGGCATCTCCTGAAAGAGTGTATGGTATTTCTTTTGTCTCTTTCAGTTTGCATTCTTTTCCCCTCCAAATGTGATCTTACACAACTTATAAATAAAATCTGTAGTAGGTTAGCTCTTTATGGTATATTTTAAAATTCCCTAAACTCTGCCATATTTAGCGCATGAAAGAAATTGATTTACAGTTTTTACAGTTTCAGTTTCATATTAACATAAGCAATTCAAGGAACATTGTGCTTTTAAAAATATTCAAGATGAGGAATATTTATTCTCTAGCTTTAATTCCATAATCTATAAAAGCAAGAACATTTTAAATTTGTTTTATCAGTCGTAGTTAAATAGTTTTGTGGAAGAAATGATAAAAATCTTCATCTTAATAATACATATTGAGCCAACAAAGCAACAATGTCAGTCATATTTTTCTCCATCTGTGGAGTTCTCCTACTTTGTTTATGAAGGATGTATATGGTATTCAGTTACAAACTTCTGGGTACTTTACAGAAAGCCACGTTTTAAATGCAGTATTACAGCAGGGCGCGGTGACACACACCTGTAACTCCAGCACTCAGGAATACAGAGGCAGATCAGTATCTATGAGTTCAAGAACCAGTCTGCTCTACAAAGTGAGTCCAAGGCTACAGAGAGGAACTTTGTTCAAAAAAATCAACAACAAAAATGTGGTTATACTACAGGATTACATGGTGTCATCATCATTTTGTGGTGAAGAAATTATTTAAAATGTTTCAATAACCTGTCCTACATTAACAATAGTAACTGGAGAGGCTGGGATTCAAATCCAACGTAAGCCTTTGAAAAATTATACTTCCTACTGGGACAAGTATAAGCAAAATTCAATGACATATTGACACTGAGCATGCGCACATTGTTCCACATCACTTAGGTTCACAGCTTGTGGAGCTAATAGATCCAAGACAAAGATCTTCGCATGCATTTCACTGGCAGAAAGGTAAGAAAACGTGTGTAAATATTCATGCTTCAGAGGGTCATTTCTGTTAAATAAAAAGGTTACTAAAATTCTCTTCATAAATAGATAGTTTCCACCTAAAACCAGACCAGTTCTGTGTGGACGTTTGCAAGCTTTCAGACCAATTCCTTCCTACAAGAACGTATTTTGAGACTGACCATTCTGAAAGACACTTTAAAGGAAGGACAGACATCCATTTTTTAGCCATTACTCAATTATTAGTTGAGATGTAAAGAGGATGGTAAATCTTTATATGTTCCAGAAATGGAACATGCATCTGGCATGGGAGAGCTGCTATACTTCAGTCTGGAAAGAAAGGATACATGTTTGGTAACAATTCCTTCAAAAAGAATCACAAAAGAGACAGCAATGATTCAGAAACTGTCCTCTGAGGAAACTGATCATGCTCTTTGCAGGAGACAAAACAGCCTTCAGTTTTGTATGCAAATTCTTGTCAGCAAGTACATTATGGTGTAATACACAATATATGATCACGCTATTTGAAATGATTTTTGCTTGGGGATTTTTTTTCACTCTGTTTTGTTCTTATTTGAGTAAAAGCATCTGCCTTTGTTTTGCTTCAGACCCTGGCAGGCAAACGTTTGGGATAAAGATTTATTCGCTTACCTTGAGTGCTATGGATACAAGTTTGGTCTCTGGCAAGACAGGAGCATTGAGCCAATTAGCTATTTCATTGTTCATAGGACAGGGTCCTTCTGTGGTTGTTATTTTCCAAAATGTTTAGTTATTCTACCCGTTTACATACCAGTTTATCATTTAATCTTCTTCCAGTTATCTATCCAGGTGTTTGCTAAGTATACAGATTTAATATTATATCTTTCAAACATTTTCTTCAAGCTTTCTTAGGCTGCCATAATAACATACAAAAGGTTGTACAGCTTAAATAACAGAAGTTTACTTTCTCACACTTTTAGGGACTAGCTAGTCTGAATTTTGTTCTCCTGAGTGCTTTGCTGCAGCCAGTTTCTCTCTGAAGCTCTCAATGTTGGAGAGGAAATACTCCCTGGAGGGTTTTGTTTACTTGTTCGTTATTCTGAGTATACTGATCCCATCAGACCTGGGCAGCACCTTCTTGACATCATGTATCTAATTACCTCCGAAAACAAATGCAAATAACTCTGAACAAATCACTCTGGAGATGAAGACTTAACATAGGAACTTTTTGTTTTGTTTTGTTTTTGTTTTTGTTTTTGTTTTTTGACTTAACTTTCTTAATAAAATATTGGAAACTTTCACCCAAGGTTTTCTCTGCAATATTTTCAGAGTACAGTTGTAAGAAATGGACAGGCTTTGCCTGATCTCAAGGTAGCAAGTTGTTTTTTTTTTTTTTTCCCAATTGTATCTTTCTAATTCCAAAAAGAAAGAGATGAATGAGTAATCAATGAAGAATACAGTTAACTCTTTTCACCCTACCTACTGGATCTTAGGTATACCCACACAGAACAAAATGGTAATAACAGCTTTAGAAGTCCTAGCATTCAGGCCCTCTACAAACAGAGAAACTAAAGTATGAGTGTATCTAGGTGGATTGCTGGAAGCTTGCACAGTAAAGAAGTTCCATTAATTCATGACATCCTTGAGTCATGGTTGAAACCATTCAAGTCACTTCATTAAATTTCTCTCTAAAAAGATTTTGGCTTGGGTTATTGTATTTTCCAGATGTAACGAGGCTGTAGTGGGGATTACAGCACTGAGCCGTGGACACCGCTGAGAGGTTCAGCTCACCACAGCACATGTGAGAATGTTCACCTCAAAGCATTATGCAAAGGCTCCGCTCAATGTCTGCAGCTCTAAATCACCATTTGTTTAGAAATTATTGCCTTTTTCTCTGGGATCCAGAGTTGAAAACCTTACAGTTCTCAAGCAGCAAAAAGTAATGCAATCATTTGATAAAAGGAGTTTTGCTCTATGTAAAAAAAAAAAAAAAATTTCTTTGCACAGTTGACAATGGGCACTTGATTATAATGATGTAACGCTCAAACAAGAAAGGTCAGAAACATTGCATATTTCGAAGTCTTTGTTTCATACTATGAAACTCTGATGGATATGTTTGTCTTTACTACTTAAAGTATGAAAGTATTTCCTCAGTGAAAGTGAGATAGGGAAGGAACATTAAGACAAGAATACACAAATTAAAATGCATCACAGTAGCCTCCAAAATCTTTAAAGTATGTTTTTTTTTTTTGTTAGCAAAATTACATTTATTTGTAGCATTGTATTTTTAATAAATTAAGTGTAACTTGTGGTGCCAGGATCTCTCTTCATGCAAATTCTGTCTGCGTGACTCAGAAATCACAGGGCATTTTGCATGTACTAACAATTTTACCGTTGCTCATTACAGTTAAAAAGTATATTTGGACCACACATCTCACGCTGAACTTGGGCCAGTGCTGAAAGTCTGTACTAGTATTCCCAACTACCCTTTGTTTCATTTTTTGAGATGATGTCTCTTAAGCGATAGCAATCCCTAAGCACTGATGCATTCTTACCAGAACATGGATGGTCACCTGAGCTGTAGCACTTCTCTGCCTGAGGGGATCAGGGAGAGCATCATTTGCCACATCTGTGACTCTCACAGCTAGCTTATACTCAGAAGACACTTCCCGGTCGAGCGAGTTCAGCAGCTTTATCATTCCTAGCACAAAAAACAACAGACAAGTTTCTATCTCAGCATCACTTAACAGTAATGTTAATGAAGTCCTTGTGACAGTACCAAATAGATGTTACGTGATATAATCATTTTCTGTTACATTTTCATATGATGACTTTCACAGTTAAATTGTGGCAGAGGTTACCTCATACATGAATCACCTACTGTACATTCTTAGGTATTTGGAAGAACACATGTGTGCAAAGGTTTTCTGAACTTCAATATATCAAAGATCAAAGCTCCAGGGCTTCCTCTGTGGTTGTTAAGAATTGTGGATACAACTAACAAACCAAGGTGAACATTATATAACTCAAGAGAGGCTTCTTATAAAAAGTTTTCATTCCCATGAATACTGAAGAAAATATATTCAAACAAGGTATTATTTTTTATTTTAATTTTTGATAATTTTATACACGAATAGTACTTTAGCATAATTCCAACCCTTCCCTATTCCTCCTCTAATTCATTCCATAACCATCTTGAATTCATGAATTCTTCTTTTATAGCTATGATTGTTGTACATATGTACATATATGTAATATCACATATTACATAATACAAACTACCACATCCAGTTAGTGTTACATGAATGTATATGTGCTTGAAGTTGACAATTTAGAAATTGGAAACATATCATGTAGCTTAACTTGTCCATGGGGAAAGCCGATTTTCCTTTTTATTATAAAGTGATATCAGTGTTCTTACATTACCTGTATCTGTTTCGATGTAAAATTTTGGAGGTATCCCAAAGTTACCTCCGACAATGGTATATTGCATATTGTTAAATGGCCAATCTCCATCTGTAAATGTAATTTTTCCAACTAGTGTATCAGTTGGACTGTTTTCATATATGCTGAAGGTAAATGGCATCATAGATCCAATAGGATTCACTTCATTTATACGGCTTACCCTTAATATGATTCTAATAATGGCTACGGAGAAAACAGATTATTGAAGTATAGATAGAGCAATGTTATGTCCTCTTCAACAATTCTTATTTTTTTCCATTATAACAAACACATATTAGATTCTCTATGAAAAGATTTTATAGGCACGTTTATATTGATGTTTTATTAGTAAAATATTAGCTTTTAGTTAAACAGTACTTAAAAGTAAGTTTAGCATAAGATGCTTTATTAAATGATTTTAAATATACTCCAATGATTCCTTCTTAAATATTTTAAGTATGCAAATATTACAGAAAGATTACATTAAAACTGTCTTCAAGTGACCACAAAGTACTCTATTAAACATTTGAGAGTATTATCTCAACCTAATTCCAGTTTTTTTTTTTTTTTTTTTTTTTTTTTTGTCTTTCAATGTTTAAATAATACTATCTCCGGACTAAATGAATTAGTTTAATTATAACTACTCATATGTATTACTATAACTTCTGTTTGGAACATTTTTAACTATGACAAACTCTAAGAACCAGTATTTAAGATACTATGTATCATACATAATTCAAACTATTTTAATACATTGAATTAATAGCTTCTTACTTGAGAGTACAGGAATTCCTCCATCAGACACTGTTACAAGCAATGTGTGTTTAAAGTCCATTCCTGCAAAAATCATACTATCATAATCTAGATGCAGAGGTCCAATCTGTAAATAAAAATAATATACTATTAAATAATTATATACAAATAAATAAATAGTATACTGTTAGTTTTGTTTTGATTACATGCCAACTTTGCCAATTGGGAATCCAAAGTGAAGATAGTAAACCAATAAATAAAAGTGTGATTTTACAATACTATTGTTTAGTTGAATAGCCTATGAGCCACAAACACAACCCTTGTATGTAATTTTAGCCTTATGAAAACCACACTCAAAATTTAAAACATATGTAATTAATTTTAATAAAGTACTTTATTCAAGAATACACATATTAAGTGCTATTGTTTCAAAAAGCAAGAAAAGAGGAACATTCTAAATATTCATATACTTTTTTAATAATCTGATAGAGAATCTTATTTCCCAGTTGCAGGGTAACTGAGAAAAGTTGCATCTCAGGTGTTCAGGGGCATGCTAGCTACTGGCTTCCACAGGACGGCTTAAATTCTCTGTGTCTGTCTCTGTGAAGCCGTACAGTGGTATGTGGCCAGTCCTCCATTTGCCATAGCTACCTTGCTGCGGTGCTCCACAGTGGTGCAGTCTGATGAGCCATGCATTACAGAAAATGGATTTTTAACTTAGGAAATGTTCAGTTTAGGAATGGTTTAATTGGAATATATTTGCATTAAGCTGAGGAGCAACTGAAATCACTATTTTATGTGTTATGTATCTAAGATTTTTTTTGCAACCATATTATAATAAACTTATTTCCCTTCTCCCACAAAAAAAAGAAATAATTTGGATTAAAATTAATGAGAATAACCTCTAAAAATCAAGTGTAAACTTTAAGCTTCAAAATCATGCCGATACAAGACTTAGTCTACTCTACTATGGGATTTAAGCATCTCATACTTTTGGTCTATAGTTTACTCTCCTGAGATTGATGTACAGGGCACACATGATGTTATAAGGGTGTTACAGGCGAAGCAGGCTAAGTTTTCTGCCCACATCTCTCGCACAGTCATACACTCCTTACAGCTCTCACAATCTAGAATTTACCTGAGACCTTCCAAGAAAGTAAGAAAAGCACATGATTGCTTCTGGCTTTTCCAACTTATTTGAGGTCCTTTTCATGCTGCAGACCTGTCCACATTAGCTATTTTCTCTACAGAAAACATTTATTATTCAGAGAAGTAATGTGTAGCAATCAAGTAATTACTTGGCACAGAAATATGTTGCTTTTTAAAGATTCTATAGTGTTCCAAGACTCATAGAAAGAAAAGCTATGGACATTAACCAACTGGCAGAAAAATGGTTTATTTAGGAATTAATGAAAATGTTAGGTGGTATCTAAGGTTATGCCACTGCTAAAATTCTATAGTCGGCATTCAAAGTAGATGAAGATGGGTGAAATAAATAATATTAATAACTCAGACATCAATGATGCAGTTAGCTCAAAACGGCAGGGTTCCACTAAAATTACCGCTAAAGCTAACCCTATTTATGTTTGATCATATGAAAATAGAAATAATTTAAACATTGAAAGGAATTATAGCTACATTCAGAAAATATCCAAGGCTGGTGCAAACATTATACAAAACTTGTGCATGACAGCAATGGCATTGAAGGTAATAACAGAAAAACGACTATCAGATCAAGATTTTGATATTTTAAATGAAAAAAAGGGATAAATAGAATTTTTATTTTTCTCCATTTCTTTGCATTTTGAAAATGGTAAAATTGAGAGTCCACTTGTTAAAATTTTTATTTATAATATAAATATATTTATAAATATAATTATTTAAATTTATAAATATATTTATAATATAAAGCTATATTTATATATAGCTGCCTATCCAATGGGAATAATGAGAATAAATATTTATAAATTGTACATCTGATAGTGGGTTAGTATTTAGAATATAGAAAGAATTTAAAAATATACAAAGAATTTAAAAACTGAACATCAAGCTGCACGTTTGCCCCTACCCCTGCCCAAGTCCCATCATCAGTATTCATGAGGCCTGTGCGGACCCAGGTACATCCTGGCCAATTCCCTGCCTTCCTGGCCACCTCAGTCACAAACAGCAGAAGCGATCTGTTCTCTGTCCCCTGAGCTCCACTATCAGAACCACATGTCTGGCTCTCTTCCTAAGGATGCTTGCTGGGCCCCAGAAACATTCAGATCCACCTGGAACACAGCTAATCCAGGTGAGCAGTAGGCTGTTCCCTGAGCTTCATTGTCAGCCACAAGGCTCTGCCTGCCTCCCTGAACAGTCCTGCTGGCACATCAGGAACATTCAACCAACACCAGGGACAAACAGGTGGCTAAAGGCCACTGTAAAGACATGCTCAACAAGGGTCAAGACAATATGGCAGGACCAGAATACAGCTACCCTACAACAGTAAGCCAAGAATATCCTAACATAGCTGAAGCATAAAAAGATGACCTTAAATTCAACCTTTTAAAGATGGTAGAGGCCTTTAGAGAGGAAATGAATAAATCTTGTAAAGAAATACAGGAAAATGCAAACAGGTGAAGGAAATGAATAAAGCAGTACAAGACCTAAAAATGGAAATAGAAGCAATAAAGAAAAACAAACTGAAGGATTCCTGGAGAAGAAAACCTAGTGAAGAGAACAGGAATTACAGATGCAGCTATCACCAACAGAATACAAACAATGGAAGAGAAACTCTCAGGCATGGAAGATACAATTGAAGAAAATGTTAAACCTAAAACATTCTTGACACAAAACACCCAATAAATCTGGGACAATATGAAAAGACCAACCTATAAATAATAGAAATAGAAGAAGAAGACACCAATTTCAAGGACCAGAAAATATTTTCAACAAAATCATAGAAGAAAACTTCCCCAACCCAGAGAAAATGATGCATAAAAACATAAAAGAAGCACACAGAACACCAATTATATTGGACCAGAAAGGAAAATCTTTTCTACCACATAATAATCAAAACACTAAATGTACCAAACAAAAAAGAATATTAAAAGCCACCAGGGCAAAAGGCCAAGTAACACATAAAGGCAGGCCCATCAGAATTACACCTGACTTCTCAAGAGAGACTTTAAAAGCCGTGTGTGTGTGTGTGTGTGTGTGTGTGTGTGTGTGGCGGGGGATTGGGGGGTTGGGCAGTTATATTGCAGCCTCTAGGAGACTATGAATGTCAGGGAAGATTACTATATCCAGCAAAATGTTAATCACCGTAGATGGAGAAAACGAAATGTTCCATGACAAAACCAATTTTTTTCCTAGTTTATTTTTTCTACTTTATTATTATTATTATTAATTATAATTTATTTACTTTGTATCCCAGCTGTAGCTCCCTCCCTCATCTCCTCATGGTCCCACTCCTCTCTTTCTTCCACCCTATGTCCCTCCCCTAGTCTACTGATAGGGAACGTCCTCCTCCCCTACTATCTGAACCTAGCCTATCAAGTCTCATCCTAACTGCCTGGATCCTGCAGTTTTATTCCTAATAGCCAGAATCCAGAAACAGTCTAGATGTTTTTCAGCTGAGGAATGGATTAAAAACATTGTGGTACATTTACACAACGGAATGCTACTCAGCAATTAAAAACAAGGAAATCATGAAATTTGCAGGCAAATGGTGGGAACTAGAAAAGATCATCCTGAGTGAGGTGTCCCAGAGACAGAAGGACAAACATGATATACACTCACTTATAAGGGGATAAAGGGGATATTAGACACATAATATAGGATAAACATACTAAAATCTATATTCCTTAAGAAGCTAAACAACTCGGAGGACCCTAGGGAAGATGTTTAATCCTCATTCAGAAAGGCAAACAGAATAGACATTGGAAGTAGAAGACAGGGAACAAGTTAGGAGCCTTCCACAGAGGATTTCTGAAAAACTCTACCCAGCAGGGTATAGAAGCAGATGCAGTGACTCATGGCTGAACTTTGGGCATAGTGGAAGGAATCTTATGAAAGAAAGGGGTGATAGAAGTGGAGGAGACAGGAATTCTATAAGGAGATCAACAGCCAAAAACTCTGAGGCCAGGGTGTCCTGCAGAAACTGATGAATCAACCAAAGATTATGCATGTGAAGACTTAGATGCCCTGCTCAGATGTAGCCTCTGGGCTGCACCATGTTCAGGGACAGTCTCTGGCATGAACTCAGTTGCCTCCTCCTTGATTACCTCCTCCTGGCAGAGTGACATTACTAGGCCACAGATAAAGATGACCCAGACAGTCCTGATGAGACCTGATAGGCTGGTAGGAGTACAGTTTTGTACAATCACTTTGGAAATCAATCTGGTGGTTTCTCAGAAAATTAGGAATAGTCTACTTCTCAACCCAGCTATGCCACTCCTGAGCTTATATCCAAAATATGCTCCATTACCCCCACAAGGACACTTGATCAACTCTGCTCCTAGCAGCTTTATTCATAATAGCCAGAAGCTGGAAACAATGTAGGTGTCCCTCAACTGAGGAAAGGATAAAGAAACTGTGGTTCATTTACAAAATAGAATACCACTCTGCTATTAAAAGCAAAGAAGTCATGAAATTTACAGGCAAATGGATGGAACTAAAAAACATCATCCTGAATGAGGTATCCCAGACCTAGAGAGATATGCATGGTATATACTTACTTATGAGTGGATATTAGCCATAAAGCCACAGACCTAAAGAAGTTTAGTAACAAGAAGGGCAGAAGGCAGGATTCTTGTCTCTCTCTATGAAGGGGAAATAAAATAGATACCTGAAGTAGATGGAGGGAAGCAACTGGGTGGGAGACGGTGTGGGGAGGGAAACAGGAAAGGGGAGAATGTGGGGGACTCGGAGAGAGAATGAAAATCATCAGGAGTCATCTTTGGGATGGGGGGACTTCTGGGAGTCTTTGAGGGTTGCTTTAGCTGAGACTCCTAGAAGAGGGATATATGGAGCATGGAGTGGTCATTCTTTGCAGCCATGTGGGAATTTCAGAGGATGGAAGTGGACACCAACCCACCCATAAAACCTTTGGCCTAAAATTCGTCCTGCTTGCAAGATGTAGGGACTAAGATGGCGCAGGGATTGAGGGAATGGCCCAACTTTAGACCCATCCCATGGGAGAGAATCAACCCCTGACGCTATTGATACTCTGCAATGCTTGCACACAGGAGTCTGAATATAAACATCTTCTGAGAGGCTTCATCCAGCCAAACAGTAAGTGAGCTTGAGGAGTCTGGTAGAAGAGTGGCAAGAAGGACTGAAGGAGCTGGAGGAGTAAAGGACACCACAAGACCCCCAGAGTCAACTAACCTGGTGCATGGGGGCTCACAGACTCAGAACCAACAACCAAGAGCATGCATGGGCTAGACCCAGACCCCCTGAATATATGTAGAAGATGTGCAACTTCTTCTTCCTGTGGATCCCCTAACAATGAGAGCCAGGGCTATCTCTGACTCTGCTGCCTGCCTTTGGGTCCCTTTAACCTACCTGGGCTGCCTTGTCTGGCCTCAGTGGGAAGGGATACAATTAGTCCTGCTTGGACTTGTGCCAGGGTGGGTTGGTACCCATTGATGGGGTACTTCCTTTCTCTGAGAAGGAAAGGGAGAAAGGAGGAATGGATATGAAGTTGGGACTGGAAGAACAGGAAAGGTCTGTGATCGAGCTGTAAAGTGATCAAGTAAAGAAAGAAAGAAAAGAAAATACAAAGGGAATCAGATAAAAGTAGGGGAAGTTAGTAAGACCTGGAAAGGACAGGGGCTCCAAGGAACAAGTATATCAGGGCACAGGGGTTCTTTTCTGAGACTGTTTTGCCAACCAAGGACCATGTATTGATATAACCTAGAACCCCTGCTCAGATATATATAGCCCATGGCAGCTCAGTATCCAAATGGGTTTCCTAGTAAGGGGAACAGGGACTGTTTCTGACATGAACGCAGTGGCTGGCTCTTTGACCTCCCCCACACCCCCAGCCCTGAGGGAGGAGCAGCCCTGCTAGGCCACAGAGGAGGACATTGCAGCCAGTCCTGATGAGACCTGATAGGCTAGGGTCAGATGGAAGGAGAGGAGGACCTCCCCTATCAGTGGACTTAGAGACAGGCAGGGAGGAGAAGAGGGAGGCAGGGTGGGATTGAGAGGGAATGAGGGAGGGGGCTACAGCTGGGATACAAAGTAAATAAACTGCAATTAATGTGAAAAATAAAAATTTAATTTAAAAATGGAGAGAATTAATAAAATAATTAAAAGAACACAAAAAATAAAAAAAAATTATAAACTGAACGTCAAGAAAACAATACAATTAAAAATGAGGTATTAAACTAAACAGAGTTCCCAAAAGACTAAACACAAATTGCTGAGACACATTTTTAAAATGTTCAGCATTGTTATTTATAATAAAATGCCAATGAAAACCGCTTTTTATCTTTTCTCAATTAGAATGGCCAAAATTAATAAAACAAATGACAGCACACAGTGAGAAAGACACAAGCGAAGTGTAACAGTGATTGCTGGTGGGAATGCAAAATTGTACAAATACTATAAAAATCAGCATAGAGGTTTTTCAAAAAACTGTAAATTGCTCGACCACAGGATCCTGCTGTACCATTCTTGGGTATATGTTAAAGGACAGTACATAATAGCGGAGACACTTGGTCACCATGCTTATTGCTGCTTCCTTCATAATAGTCAGAAACTAGAAACAGCCTACATGTACAAAGGCTGATGGATACATAATAAAAATCGGGTACATTTATACTGTGGAATATTATTCACCTGCTAAGAAAAATGAGATTTGAAAGTAACTACACAAAGCTAAAAAAACAATCACTGTGAATGAGGTGACCCAGAAGAGCCCATAGGCAAATATTAATGTTTTCCTTGTATGTATGTGGATGTGGATTTTAAACTTTAGACATCTGTGTCTAAAGCAGATTAACGGAGTTTGCATAGTAAGGGTCTAGAGAAAAATCCCAGCATGAAGCAGAGTAAGCAGATACAAACTTGCAGGGTAACCAACAAACTGGTAAATAGGTATGTGATCATAAAGGGAAAAGCAGTTTTCTCCAATCCAGTGTCACCGCGTATTTGCACTCCAAGGCAGGTCCTCCGTGAGTAGTAGTTGGCCAACAACAAAAAAGACTTCATGGTTTTTTGTTTTGTTTTTGTTTTTGAGTTTTATTTATGGAGAATGGGACAGCTTTTTTATTTTTTTATTTTTTTCTGTTGGTTTGTTTTGGTTTTGGTTTGTTTAGGTTGGGGTGGGGTTTTTTTTGTTTGTTTGTTTGTTTGTTTTATAAGCTCTGTTTAATATGATTTTTTGGTTGTTTTTCCTTTGTTTTGTTTTATTTTTTGTGAGAAAGAGAGAGACCATGAAAGTGGATAAATAAGAAGGTGGGGGGGATTTTGAAAGAGTTAGAAGGAAACTAATTTTATCAAAAAATTTTGTATGAAATTTTTTTCTTTTTTTTTTTAGTCCCCTCTCATAATATACATCCTGACCACAGCCTTCCCTTTTTCCCTCCTTCCAGGCACCCTACCTCTCCTCTCCCTAAGATCCACTCTGCCTCCCTTGTCATCTGGGCCTAACAAGATACAGTAAGACCAGGTACAACCCGGCAAAGGCAACACAGTAGAAATGTCCCAGCAACAGACAAGAGTCAGGGGACATCTGTGCTACCACTGTCAGGAGCCCAACAAAAACTTCAAGGTAAACAACCACAGATTGTATACACAAGTCTCATGATTGCTGCTTCAGTCTCTGTGAGCCCCTATGAGAGAGGCTTAGCTGATTCTGTGGGCTGTGTTCTCCTGGTGTCTTTGACCCTCCTGGCTCCTACAAAAACTATATTCATTATTTTAACATAAACCTTTAGTGCTTGCTCTCAATCTGAGTTTTGAATAACTGATGAAATTTTGCTCCCATCTTTCTGTAACATATATGATAATTTTGAGTTATCAAGTAGCTGATAAATTTTAGTTTTACATTTAAAAATTTTGTAAATTATGCTCTTCTAGTTTAAATAATTGAGTCTTGCTGGAAATTCATGTATATTTTCTTTCTATATTTCTATAATAAATATTTACTTTATTAAGTGTTTAAATTGTGTCATTTTCTTTATATGGCTTCTCTTCCCTGCCTTAGAGAAAGATAAAAATTTAGGCATTTTAATAACTTTTCAAAACTAATTAACTTTTGAGGAAAATACCATGTTGTTATTCCAATTATATAGCAAATACAATCTATCAGTGTGTTTAGCTTGTTATATTTGGTTAAATAGTTTTGATTCCACAAAGTTTATGTGAGTGTTTTCAGAGAATTAGCAAAAATTAGAAGAGGCCCAAAACAATAATTTTGCTGTTTGTTCATTTATTTCATATCCCTTGTTAGAATTTCTTGGATATAAATAATTAAAAAATTGCAAACACTGCCATGATTTTTATATTTTCTACTTGAAGAATATTAGTATGATATTTCCCCTATCATTCTCAGGTTATGGATTCACTTAGGTTGTAAAGATCTATTTTTCAGTTCTGGTCTCCTCATCATCATTTCCAGTTATGAATTTGTCCCATGGAGACATTTGGAAGTAATGTGTTACTACACGCTACAAACACCTACAGTTTCACGTGGCTATTCCTCATGAATTCAGCCATCATTTTATAGACTTCTAATCAGCACCATACATGCTCCAGATTTGTTATTCAATTTTTCCTTTCATTTTCTATCTAGGAACACATGGAGTGTTTAATTAGTGCTACAGAGGGACAGACCCAAAATGCTGAGAGAACTCAAGGAGAAACATGTGACACAGATACAAGGCAGGAGAAATGTCACATGAGAAACGTATACAAAACCTATTAAGCTACACAAAAGCAGCACGGTAATGGAGACATAAAAACTAAGAGGTTTTCTAGCTTTATGAACAGTGCAAATTTCAAAACTGAAAGACATCTGTTTTTATGATCATAAATGTGATTCTCTGTATCTCTTTTACACAACATGAGAGAGCCCAGGATATTAGGGGTTTGTAGAACTGTGTGTTGGATAGAACTTCAGTGCAATGAAATCCATACCAAAACAATATAAGAATGCACATGTGACTTCCATCCTAGCAAGCAGAAAACGTGGGGTTCTTTGTGAACAGGTGTTCAGATGAGCTACTTTTAATTACCATATGACCAATCTCTCTTTGCCTAATCTGTTTTTAAATTGAATGAATATAACTACATTTAGCCTTAGACTGTAAAATATATTGGAAATAAAATATAGCTATCTATCTTTACTTGTCTATTTGTCTGTCTATCTATTTAGCTACATATACACAAACACACATATGTATATGTATATATATATATACACATACATATATATATATTAAACTAGTCAAAATATTTTGAACTACTTCATATCATAGGATAAGTAGTAAGCATGCTTGTTCTATTTACTTCAAAAGTAATTTAACATATTTATCAAACATATTTCAACACATTCCAATTGAATACATAATATTTTATCCTAAAACTGTTGTTCTAAGAAATCTGTAACCTTCATAGTTCAGTTGTCAAGATCAAAATTTCATTCCAGCATTCATTCTGAAGCAAGCTATGCTTTCAGCAATTTAAGGTTCAGTTGAAAATCCAGGAACAAATTCTGCCACCAGCTATTTGAACTACTGCAGTTCATTAACAACTTTATAATAACAAAATAAATGTATTTTTATATCTCAGATTAATCACAAGGCCACAGTCAGAGTGACTTTGTGATACTTACTTTCAGTTCACTATTTGTGAGAGTAAAGGTACTGTTGGAAAAAGAGTCTTTAATCAAATGATAACTTATGTTGTTATTGGGAGCAGTTCCATCTTGATCTGTACAAGTTAGGGAGATTAAATGGGTGTCAACTGGAATGTTCTCAGGAAGCTCAATTCTGTAATGAGAAAAAAGAAAAGTTACATATTGAACTTGGTTTAGCCACTTGATTTAAATTTAATGTAATAAATTATTTGAAATGTGCTCATAATTTAAATAGCTCTGACCATAAGTATTTCATAGTATCCAATAAAATTGCATAACACATGATTTAGCATTTGTGATGAAGCCGAGAGAAATGGCATTATTCTTATACTAGATTTCTGAAAAGATAGATTTTTAAAGCCATAAATATTATTGAACAAATGATAGTTCGTTCCTCCTGAGGTTGATATTTGTAAATCATAAAATTCTATGTGATCTTATGAAATGGCTATACTTGTTTCTTTAAACTGATTATATAAGTATGTCATTCTTCTCACAATAAAGATAAAGAAACAAAGGATTACTATTTAGATTTACTTAAAAGAGAGCTGCGAGTGTTGATTCTATATTAAATACTTTCCTATTTATTAAGATAAAATAAGAAGCAACTTTAGGGAGAAGGGTTCATTTGGCTTTAGGTTAAGTTGAAAGGGATTTGCCCATTATGACATGGCACTCATGGGAGCAGGAGTGTAACGCATCTAGTCGTGGCTTATCTGTAGTGAGTTGGACACAGCCTTGAGTGCTGCTGCCAGCACTTTTTTTTCCTTCCTTTTTCAGTCCAGAACCCCAATGTTTACTTTTTTTAGGAGTGGAGGAAGCAGATATGTCTATATCAATTAATATATGATAGAAACTCCTTGTCATACATGCTCAGTAACTGTCTCCACGGTGGCGTGAGACCACCAAAGTTGACAGTCAATAATGTTAACTGATCCACTTATTAAAGAAATTCCACTTACAATGACATTCACATTATCCTCTATAGATCTCAATTTCCTACAACCTCTGCAAATGGCTTGTGAGAAGACTACTAGCAAATGGAACGGATATCGATGAGCTAAATCATAGTTCCTGATAACATGATCACGATGTGCAGGGCCATCAACATGTGTATCTCCCTTCTGTACTTGTGAAGAGAAGCAGAATGTAACAAGATGCCCGAAAAAACAGAATCCCTGAGTAACAGATCACAATAGAGTGTAAAGATTTTTATTGTACTTTTGATCAATGTGAAAAATGCTGATTGGGTTGAGGATACATTGTTGACAGTAATTCGGTGGGAAGTTGTCTGGGTATTGCAAACAACTACAGTGGTGTTTCCTGTCAGTTCGGAGAGGCTGTTTTCTACTTAACTTTGGACTGCACTTCAGCATGTGTCTCGTATCTGACCTGAATGAGGGTGTCACCAGTAGACATGCCAAAGTTGTCAAGGAAAAGGCCATGGAGCCGCAACCCTACACAAAGAGCTTACAAAGCAACTAAGAAATCCGGAGAGTCAGAGACATAGTCTTCCTTAACAAGGAACACACCAATTAGTCACACAAATAGTCATCCCTAAAAAAGAACACACCAAGGGATCAGCCCTGAAAAACATAGATACAACTAATTTTATCTTGAATAAGTAGCTTGTATTTAGAAATATATTTGTACATAAATATAGGCATGTGATAACAATGAAAACAAATGAGGTCACGAATGTGAAAAAGAGCAAGGATTGAAGGGTTAGGTCCAAGGAAATGGGAGAAATGTTGTGATTATAAACCTCCAAATTAAAGAAAGCTAAAATAATCACCTTAGAATAAAAAAAATAATGAAATGAAAGATAGATTGTCTATTTTGCTAAGAGGAAGATTGTTCTAGAAAGCTGTTCTGTTATCAGGTTGAACACATCTGTCTTGTTAAGCATTTACCATTGATTTTTGTTGATGGCATTTAAATTACGTTCTTTAAGTTGGGGGAAAACACAGAGTGCTATGGTTATTTGTGCCACCGTACTCTGCATTGGCACCTCAGAATCTCTGCTTCCATCCTGCCATGCCCACAGGCCTCCAGCATCGGTCAATTATTCACATCTGGCAGATCATAAAGGTTGATTTTGAAACTCAGCAGAGCAGAGGTGTTAGCTTTATGTGGAGGCTTGCACTGTGTCCTGTTATTCTTAAGTAATCAAGACATTTATATGGAAGGTGTTCTTTTTTATTTTATTTTATTTTATTTTATTTTATCTTATTTTATTCAGTATTGTGTTTTTTTTTTTTTACTTTGGGGGAGATGAGGAGGAAGTAGCAAAAACAGTGTCTCTTTGGAGTCTTCCAAATGTAAGGGACTCCGAAGTATATGTACAAAGACTGGATGACATGGCCAGGAGAATAAAATGGAAGGTCCCCAAGATTCTTTTTTCCACCCATTTCTATGAATAAAATGGTAAGCTGTCGAACTGACTGATCTATGGTACCTGATAAATGCCAGTTGCTTTCTAGCTGGCTTTCCCCACAGGTTAGACATCATCATGTTTCTCTTCTGTGAAACTCACCTAGCAAACTAGAAATGCCATTACAATACAGGGCTTGAATAATACAGCGGGTGTGCTGTCTCCCCATCCTTCCAGCCACTAAGGCAGGAAGGTGCTGAGAGTAGGCTGTCCTGACTGGCTTCTCCGAGGGCTAGCTAGCCTGCCCTGGCAGATTCCACATGGAAGGCTATGGGCTGCAAGTCTCTAGTGCACAGTCCTCTCTTTTTGCGACGATGATTGAAGGGAAAGAAGTGCACAGGCATGCTGATTTCGCATGCTGTCTTCAGGATTTCAACAGCTTTGCTGTGCTTTATAGCTTGGAAATCCACATCATTTACAGCCATAACTTGGTCCTTTTCTTGAAGTATTGATCCATGTGCATCAGAGTCTGGAATCACCTTGGATATGAAGATGCCTAACTGGGACGTCTTTCCTCCTCGGATGTTAAATCCCAACTGAGCACCAAGAGGCTTTTCTTTTTTCAATTTCTTTTTTTTTATTATAATTTATTCACTTTGTATCCCAGCTGTAGCACCCTCCCTTGTAGCCTCCCAATCCTGCTGTCCCTCTTCTCCTCCCATGCCCTTACCCCAGTCCACTGAGAGGGGAGATCCTCTTCCCCTTCCATCTGACCTTAGCCTATCAGGTCTCATCAGGACTGGCTGCATTGTCTTCCTCTGTGGCCTGGTAAGGCTACCTTGCCCCTCAGGGGGAGGTGATCAAAGAGCCAGCCACTGATCTCATGTCAGGGACAGTACCTGTTCCCCTTACTAGGGAACCCACTTGGATACTGAGTTGCAATGGGCTACATCTGAGCAGGGGTTCTAGGTTATCTCCATGAATGGTCCTTGGTTGGAGTATCACTCTCAGAAAAGACCCCTGTGCCCAGATTTTTTGGTTCTGTGGTTTCCTTGTGGAGCTCCTGTCCCGTCCAGGTCTTACTGTCTCCCACTTCTTTCATAAGATTCCCTGCACTCTGCCCAAAGTTTGGCTATGAGTCTCAGCCTCTGCTTTGATACCCTGCTGGGTAGTCTTTCAGAGGCCCTCTGTGGTAGGCTCCTGTCCTGTTCCCTGTTTTCTCCCTCTTTATCCCGTCTGCCTTTTTGAAAGAGGATTGAGCATCTTACCCACGGTCCTCTTTTTTGTTTATCTTCTTTAGGTGTACAGATTTTAGTATGTTTAATCTATATTATATGTCTAATATCCACTTATAAGTGAGTATATACCATGTGTGTCTTTCTGCTTTTGGTAAGAGTCTTCTTCAGTGTGACAATTCGGTGTAGAAACTAGGTCAGCACATTGTTGTAGTCTTCATGGTACACTCTCTCATGAGGAGGAATCCATGCTGGAGGATTCTCATAGGCAGGCAGGAACACCAATGGGAAGCCGGTGTCTGTTTCTGGCCAAGCTGCCATCCTCTCACTCGCTGTACACACTCTGATTGACTGGCGTTTCCGGGATCAATTTGAATCTTGGCGCCTAAACGTTCAGCTGGAACAGAGCTCAAAGGGACGTTTAGTTTGGTGAGTGACAGAGCACTGCTTTCGCTCGGCTTCTGCCTTTCTAGCACTTGAGGGCTTTGGCGTGCAGTCGCTGTCTCCACTGGAGTTGCTAATTTCAGATACCTCTTCGCCCTGCTGTGTTGCTGCGACGGACAGACCTTTAGGCAGTGACCGTGTCTGAGAGTGACCAGAGACAGTGATTCCTCGAGGAGGGAAGCTGTGCTGCTGAGTTCTGAGTGGAAAGGGCCTTTCAAGGCTGCCAGCCTCCGGAGGCTCCTGGGAGAGCCAGCTTCACTGCCCGCTGACACCTGCTCGGCTAGTCCCATGAAAGAAGAGGTGAAGGGAATTTCTGTAAGAGTGGCACTGTGTTGCCCGGCCCCTGGTCTCTAAAGGGAATAGTGAGGGCGGTCAGACATGCCTTTCCTTTGTGCCCGCAGAGCCTCAGGCTGGTAATGAAGCCTAGAGAGCTTCAGGTGGGTATCATGGCTCTCTCCATGCTGGGGCTGACAGAAGCGAGGGGCGTGGTCTTTTTCCCTCCCCCTTTGCCTTGTCTCTTGCCTTTTGCAGGGGGGTGGTTGCAAGGTGTTAAAACATTGTTTGTGCTATCAAAGTGAAACTTTCCAGCATTCAGAACTGCTAATGGTTCAGCCTACAAGACTATTTACACTCCATTGTAAATAGTTGGCATTATTTTCTCTACTTGGTATTTGGATGTTGAGAATAGACATTTCTAACTTTCCCTTGGGTTTTCTGTGCACAGATGGAACATTCCTTATCTGTCATTATGCTGAATTTCCAGACATTCCAGATTTTGGAGCACTTCAGTCTGATTTTTATCCTTTGTGACAACAAATGAAGCAAGTCAACTTGTCCCAGGAAGTTGAAAAAAAAAAAAAAAAAGGCTGTTCATGTGTGAGAATAAAGAGAAGAATGAAAGAACCCTGCCTCTGTTCTAGGATAAGTGATGCCTACCTACTCATTTGTGTTAAGTTTTCTCAATCGAAGAACCATCGATTGCCAACATAACTTACACATAAATATCCTGTGAGCATCTCGGAGCGTTGTCATTTACATCCTGTAGAATCACTGTGAGTGTCCCCGTTGTTGAATGTGTTCGCCCATTGTCGTAAGCTCTAACATATAATACCCAAGATTTCGGGACGGTGTCATCTTCATAGTCTAGTGGATAGGCAACAGTGACTTCTCCAAAGTCTAAAAGGCAGGCAGATTAAGATGTGCTCACCAGGAAATCACAAACAAGTCATAACTGTGCACATGTGAGAAATGTGAGGTTGAATGTGTGACAGAAGGCAGAGCCTCCTGTGTTACACAGGTCTCCTCAGGGGAAAGTCATAGTAACTGCCACACACAGTGAAGCTTAGGCTGAATGTGAAACACTGAACACAGGAAAAGCAGGTAAAAAAATTAGGAGGTCTGGGGAAGGGTGGTGTTGGGATGGCATCTGTCAGAAAACAACCAGAAGTAAAGGGGATATTTTAGGTGGGAATGACTTTCTGAATATTTATATTGGGTCTGCGCTCTCGGAGCATTCAAGCTCTAAGTGTATGCACTGCTTTGCAACTATAGGTATATAAATAACTAATATACTGATATTCATCATTTTCATGCTGGTACATCCCCAGCAAGACTGCTTTTCTATCAGTTACCATTCCCTCACGTCTGCTCTCCTCTGTGGAGGCATTATTTTTCTGGACGTAAACTTTGTTAAAGATCAATTAATTTGCTTATGAGTGTGCAAAGCTTCAGTGAGGGTATGTACTAGTGAAGTGCATGTAAGTGCAAGATTCCTTGTGTGGAAATCTTTGTATTGAGATAGCGGGCAGTGCGCATATAATCTTACTCTCTCCATGTGTAAAAGGGTGTGCTCCCTCCTATAAGAGGGAGAACTATCTATCCCCTCCGTGTTTGAACTTTATGCCTAAATTATTAGAGGCACAGAACCCATTAATCCCTGAACATGTGTAATGTACTAAAAGTCACAAGTGTCATAACCAAACAGGCTGAACCCAAGTTTATCAGTGTCACGGGAATTCACGCTGTGTGTTTAGGATGGGGATTTGAGTAGCTCAGGGATAGTGCACTTGCTTAACATGACAAGGCCTCTGATCCCCTCCATGGTGATGGGAGAAAGGGACAAGAACTCTTCCCGAGGGCTATATTTTAGGTGGAGATTGGTCCAGTAAAATTTCAAACTGGCTTTTCTGTATGTAATGTTCTTACAAGAAGGTATAGCATAAAACGAAAATTCAGTTTATGATAACTAATATTCTGGTTTCCATGGGAAAATTAGTTTTTCAGAGAAAACTCATAAAACAAGTTTCCAGTGCAAACTTACACCTCTGAACTGTTGCAACGTCTGCCAGAGCAGACCAGCACTGAATACATGTCCATACCTCTAAAATGGAACGAAGGATTGCCATTTCCTCCATAAGAATATGTTAAGTGCTCTCTCACATATTTGAAATATCATTTCCTTTTAATACAACGACTTCAGAGCTTAATTTATGAACAAAATACTTTATAGTATGCTTTCTGAAGTGACTAACCGTAAAAATTATTATACCTTCATTTATAGCAAACTCTTTCTGTGGTCCTATAAACTCATAATGTACTGCATCTCCTATGTCTCTATCTGCTGCTGTGAACTTGGCCAACTTTGTTCCAACAGGCAGATTTTCATTAATATTTATAGGTGCATCTGGTCTGTATCTAAATGAAAAAGAAGAGGTTCAGTGTAAACAATTGTCTCTTTCTATCTCTGTCACAGCAAATATTTGAAATTTCATGTACTGCATCTTTTGTAAGAATTTACAGACTCTGAATGCAAATAAATTGTAAATATATATACACACATTAGCTATTGTTGATATATTTAAAATGAATTTCAACAATATTTTATCTGTTCTCTTTCTTTAGTCCTTAAACTGATTGAGAAATTATTATTATAGCACATAAGAAAATACTGCAAACACTTCACCAATGACTTTTTATTTTATGTATGTTTGACCACATATCCATGTCAAAATTACTTTTGTCCCAATTCTCTTGAGTGTCTACATTGATCTAATAATACAAACATATCAGTGTTCATTTTTTAACATTTTCTTATTAATTATAAATAGCAGAAAAATGAGAAATGTAATTTCATGAAAAAAATGGGTCATTTTCTCTGTAATTTCAAGAGCAAAATACAAATGGAGTTGATTTTGTTTAGTGCATGTGCAAAAAAACAAAGGAACAATGGTACCAAGCTGAAAAAACTTTGTTTTCTAGATCATTTTGAATATTACAAGAAATTTTGTAATGAAAATGATAGTAAAACACTGATATTTACCCTGCTATAAAAAAAGATCCAGTGATTTAAAAAAGCATTTAAATATTTAAATTAAGCATTGCTTACATCAGATCAGGACTCTCATCATTAACATTTTGAATGTTTATAGTAATGGTGCCAATGCATGACTCCAGAGACAAGCTGTCCCTATTTCTCACAGCAATTATAAACTGGAAAAGCTAAGAACAAAAGAAAGAAGGTTTTAAGTTTTTCACCTTGAGTGCTTAATACATACAATTTTCTTTTACATTAAAATTAATATTTTTACTTAAATTTTTATTTTTTATATTAGTTACAGTTTACTTACTTTGTATCCTAGCTGTAGCCCCCTCCCTCATTCCTTCCCAATCCCACCCTCCCTCCCTCATCTCCTCCCTGCCCCTCTCTAAGTCTACTGATAGAGGAGGTCCTCCTTCCCTTCCATCTGACCCTAGTTTATCAGGTCTCTTCAGGACTGGCTGCAATGTCCTCCTCTGTGGCCTAGCAAGGCTGTTCCTCCCTTGGGGTGGGAAAGGGTCAAAGAGCCAGCCATTGAGTTCATGTCAGAAACAGTGCCTGTTCCCCTTACTAGGGTACCCACTTGGATACTAAGATGCCATGGGCTCCATCCAAGCAGGAGTTTTAGGTTATATCCATGCATGGTCCTTGGTTGGAGAAACAGTCTCATAAAAGACCCCTGTTCCCAGATATATTTGGTCCTTGTGGTGCTCCTGTCCTCTCCAGATCATACTAACTCCCCCTTCTTTCATATGAATCCATGCACTCTGTCAAAGGTTTAGTTATGAGTCTTAGCATCTGCGTTGAGACGCTGCTAGGTAGAGTCTTTCAGAGACCCTCTGCGGTAGACTCCTGTCCTGTTTCTTGTTTTCTCCTACTTCCAATGTCCATCCCATTTGTCTTTCTAAGTGAGGATTGATCATCTTACTCAGGGTCCTCCTTCTTGTTTAGCTTCTTTGGGTGTACAGGTTTTAGTATGTTTATCATATCTTATAAGTCTTGTATCCACTTATAAGTGAGTATATACCATGTGTGTCTTTCTGCTTCTGAGATACCTCACTCAGGATGATCTTTTCTAGATCTCACCATTTGCCTGCAAATTTCACGATTTCCTCATTTTTGATTGCTAAGTAGTATTCCATTGTGTAAAAGTACCACAATTTCTGTATCCATTCCTCCATTGAGGGACATCTGGGTTGTTTCCAGGTTCTGGCTATTACAAATAAATCTGCTATGTGCATGGTTGAGCAAACGTCCTGTTGTGTACTTGAGCATCTTTTGGATATAAGCCTAGGAGTGGTAGAGCACCTACATTCATAAATCAAACATTATTAAAGCTTAAATAACACATCAATCCCAAGACCTTAATAGTGGGAGACTTCAACACCCGACTCTCATCAAGGGACAGATCATCTAGACAGAAGCCAAATAGGGAAATAAAGGCACTTACAGAGACCCTGAATCAAATGGACCTAATAGATGTCTACAGAACTTTTCACCCAAACTCAAAAGAGTATATATACATTCTTTTCAGCACCTAATGTAACCTTCTCCAATAAAGACCATATAGTTTGTCACAAAGCAAGCCTCAACAGATACAAGAAGATTGAAATAATCCCCTGTATTCTCTCTGAAAACCATAGACTAAAGCTGAACCTCAACAACAATGGAAATAGCAAAAAGCCTACACGCACATGGAAACTGAACAAATTGCTACTCAATGACAGCTGGCTTAAGGAAGAAATAAATAAAGAAGTTAAAGACTTCCTAGAATTCAATGAAAATGAAGGTACAATATACCCAAATTTATGGACACAATGAAAGCAGTGCTCAGAGGAAAATTCATAGCACTGAGAGCCTTCAAGAAAAAAATTGTAATATCTCATACAAGCAACTTAGTGGCCCAGCTGAAAACCCCAGAAAAAAAAAAAAAAAAAAAAAAAAAAAAAGAAGCAGATACACCCAAGAGGAGCAGAGTGCTGGAAATAATCAGACTCAGGGCTGAAATCAATAAATTAGAATCAAATAAAACTATTCAAAGAAATAGCTTGGAAACCAAGAGATGGTTCTTTGAGAAAATCAACAAGATAGAAAAACCCTTCGCCAAACTAAATAAAAGGCAGAGAGACACCACCCAAATCAGCCAAATCAGAAATGAAAAGGGGGACATAACTACAGACACTGAGGAAATCCAAACAATCATTAGGACTTACTTCAAAAGTCTATATGCCACAAAATTTGAAAATCTAAAGGAAATGGACAATTTTCTTGATAGATTACATCTACCAAAATTAAATCAAGATCAGGTAGAAAGACTAAATAGTCCTATATCCCACAAGGAAATAGAGGCAGTCATCACCAATCTCCCTTCCAAAAAAGCCCTGAGCCAGATGATTTCAGCACAAAATTCTACCAGACCTTCAAAGAAGTGCTAACTCCAATTCTCTCCAAACTATTCCAGAAAATATTTTTAAATGGAATAATAATAAAAAAAGGACTGGACACAGACATTTAATGTTTCTAATAACTTTAACATTTGTTGAAAGGATTTTCTGCTATTTTTATATGTGTATTACTGCAACAAATGTTACCTTCTAATTACTGTTGATTGAGTTTGTATTTTTAAATGTTACTTTATTATGTTGTAACAAAATATCCAAAATAAATGTATTGAAGTATAAAAAAATAGTAAATTAATTCTCATTATTTAGAGAAAAATCTGAAGCATATTGTACTTTTAGAAAATATTAGTAACTCATAGACTTATCAATTAAAAAATGACAAATTTCCTTAACTTTTGATTTCTAGCACAACCAAACAGTTGTGAAATACAGTATTACAAGATAATAGTAAGTTGATAAAGTCTGATTTTAGATTTTATTTATGTTAATTCTATAATCATTAGGATTAACTATGAATGCAAAGATCTATTAAAAATGCACTAAATTCCAATGAGAGCTTCCCATGGAAACCAGAATATTAGTTATCATTATCTGAATATTCATTTTATGTCATACATTCTTGTAAAGACATTACATACATGAAAGCCAGTTTGAAATTTTACTGAACCAATACCCATCTAAAATATAGTCCTCAGGAAGAGTGTTTGTTCCTTTTAACAGATGCAAGAAAATTGAAATAATCTATGGAGAGATGCTTGCTTGCCAGGCTGTTTTGTGATCTCTTAACAAAAAAAAAAAAAAAAGAAGAAACATTTTTTCACCCTGGCCTTTACCTTGAGACAGGGATAGATAGGATGTTTTGCCAAGTTCACTTCCTCTTGTTTGTGACAGTAGGCAGGATGTTTTTCCCAAGTTCACTCCCTTTCGTTTGTGTAAGAATCGCACAGACAGGAGGTTGAGGTAAAAAGTTTGACTTCTTCATGAACCCCTTCATTGTATCAAAGTGCTTTGCTCTGACTATAAAAAGGGACTGTGGAATAAACTGAGTGCCTAGTTTCTACTGGAGCCTTCTCAAACAGATCCTATGTGTAGTGTCTTGGTTTTTAAATTTTTCTCTCAATCCTCACTCCGCACTCAGAAACTGTTTGACTCTGCTGGGAGGCTCCAGCAATAACCCAACATGGATTAAGGTTGGAATGCAACATCAACAGAAACAGTGGAAAGCCTACAAACTCATGGAAACTGAACAACTCCCTACTCAATGATCACTGGGTCAGAGAGAAAATGAAGAAAGAAATGAAAGATTTTCTAGAATTCAATGAAAATGAAGGCACAACATACCCAAATTTATGGAATTCAATGAAAGCAGCACTAAGAGGAAAGTTCATAGCACTAAGTACTTTCATAAAGAAATTGAAGAGAATCCATATTAGCTAGCAACTTAACAGCACACATAAAAGGTCTAGAATAAAAAAGCAGACACACCAAAGAAGAGTTGAAAACAGAAAGTCATCAGACTTAGAGCTGAAATCAGTAAATTAGAAACAAAGGAAAAAATACAAAAAAATCAATAAAACCAAGAGCTGGTTCTTTGAGAAAATAAAAAAGATAGACAAAACCTTAGCCAAGCTAACTAAAAGGCAGAGGGAGAGTATCCAGATTAACAAAATGAGAAATGAAAAGGAAGACAAAACAACAGATACAAAGAAAATCTAAAAAGTCATTAGATTATACATCAAAAGCCTGTATTCCACAAAACTGGGAAATCTAAAAGAAATGGATTGTTTTCTTGATAGATTTCACTTACCAAGGTTAAATCAAGATCGGGTAAACAGTTTTAATTACCACCAAAAAAAAAAAAAAAAAAAAAAACAGATGCAGTCATCAAAAGTTTCCCAACCAAAAACAGCCAAGGGCCAGATAGTTTTAGCATAAAATTCTAACAGATAGTCAAAGAAGAGCTAATACCAATAATCCTCAAGCTGTTCCGCAAAATAGAAACAGAAGGAACATTACCAAACCCATTCTATGAAGCTGCAATCACCCTGATACCTATAGCACACAAAGTCTTAACAAAGAAAGACAGTTTCAGACCATTTTCACTCATGAACATTGATGCACAAATACTCAATAAAATACTCACAAACTGAATCCAAGAGTACATCAAAGATATCATCCACCATGATCAAGTAGGCTTCATCCCAAGAATACAGGGATGGTTCAACATATGAAAATCCATTAATATAATCCACCATATAAACAAGCTGGGGAAAAAAAAAAACTGATCATCTCGTTAGATACAGAAACAGACTTTGACAAAATACAACATAATAAATGCTATATACAGCAAGCTGATAGCTAACATCAAATTAAATGGAGAGAAATTCAAAGCAATTTCACTAAAATCAGGAAGAGGACAAGGCTGTCTACTCCATATATCTTCAATATAGTCCTTTAAATTCTAGCTAGAGCAATAAGACAACTAAAGGAGCTCAAGGGGATACAAATTACAAAGAAAGAAGTCATTATTCACAGATGATATGATAGTTGTTGGAAGGACCCTGCTATTTGATGTTGTACTTCTCTTAGTCCAAATAGCCATTCTGAGCTCGTCCTTAAGGTGCAGGCTTCCCTTTCCCTGTGTTAAAGAGAACAGCAGGGCCTCCTGTTCTCTGTCTGACTTCATCTCTAAAGTATCTTTAGACACAGATGCCCCTAACCACATTTGACATATGGCCTTTGACACAGCTTCCTGCTAGCTTTTCCCTCTATGTGCTACG